ATCCCTCTATTAAGGGAGCATTCGTCCTTAGGAATTAACTTAAAATGGGCACGCTTAGCTATAACAAACACCTAGATGACTTTAATAGTAGAAGTTGCTTCCTACTAGAACTGTTAAAACAAACTAGTAAACTGCTTCTTAACAGCCCTTACTTCAAACTCCTAGTCTTTAGCGTCTACCTCTTCGTCGACGAGCTTAAGTAGCTAGAAAGAATCCGACCTAGTCGAATAGAGGCTAGCGTAAAGGTCGGCGAGTGCTAGGCGAGGCTTACGAAGGCATAACTGCTTTAACTCGTAGCGGAAACCTGCTAAATCGGTCATAGAAGTAAGGCCCTCTAAGCCGTTAAAAAAGGAGTTAAGTCTAATAGGCGTAGAGGAGGTAAGCGTAGCTTAACTAGCTTCGGGATTAAGGACATCGACCTAGACAAAGACTATAAGCTAATCCTTTAGCTCTTTTTTAACGTCCATCATTTCGGTATCTAAGGCCTCCTTAAGATGCATGTCTCCTATACTATCTAACAAGCTAGATGTTAAGTTGCGAGCGCTGCTTATACTTCTTCGATTGCTACTTCTAGCCCTAGAAGCACTACGAGAGCGGGTCGAAGAACTCGTACGGCCTCGACCTTAACCTAGTTAACTAGTAATAAGTGTAGTAGCAGTTAAAGTTATAGGGCGCTTACTAGATCCGCGAGCTAAGGCCGCGGTGCTAGCCGCCTTAACTTCTTTATTAAAGTCTCGCTTTGCCTCCCTTCTAATTCTTACAACCTCTATTAGCAAAAGTTGTTATAGCATTAATAAGAGAAAGCCTAGGTTATCGGACGCCTAGGTATAGAGCTAATCTTCCCTATACTATTTAGGTCGTCTACTCTTATTGTTACGTTGCTAGAATAAGCTACTACACTCGACAGCCGACCCTCTATTTAGAAGTAAGGACTAGAGTTTATAGCGTACTTCGTAGACGGCCTCGTTATGCTTATCCTAGGCGAACTTAACCGTTTCCTCTAAGTTGCTAGGCGGAGTAAGAGTGGAGTCCGCTATGATCGCTACCTAAATAGCCCTATCGTAGGTGTTAATTTGCATCCTACTAAGACCTATGTAGGTAAAGATGAAACCTCTAGTAAGGCCCTTATAGTCTTACGTAAATTAATGTGTAACGTTGTCAATAGTGAAGGTCGTAGAGTTTTCTTTTTCGAAGCCCAGAAAAGCTAATTTAGTGGCCATAATAGATAGTAATTAGGTGATTATGCTAACTAAGTTAAGGTTAGTTAGGCCAAATTTCGAAAGGGTAGTAGTTTAAACCTTAAGGAGAACAGTAAAAGAAATAACAGCTAGAATTAGTTAGGTAGAGGATGCGGCGTGTACTAAGTGCTTAAGAGGTAGGCTAGAGGATGTGCGCATAATAATACAAAGTAATGTTAAAGGAAAAGGGCGCGCAGATAAGTAATAAGTCGGC